CTGTCTCGATGTATCCCTGGACGAGATACTTAACCCCGAGTCGCTCCTGATGGCAAACAGTGTGTGTGAATGTTAGCTGGTCCTTGATCTCGTGGTTCCCCCACTTTGGGAACCCCTGATCTGGTGGACGGTTGCTCTGTATTAATGAGGTGTGAGTGGATAACTTGTAAATGAGAAGCGCTTTGAAAGGTCCTAAAGAACTGGATAAACCGCTATTTAAGTACAGTCCATTTCCCATTTCAAAAGCAGAAGAACACTGCGCCATAATGCATTATACCTGATAACAACTAACCCTAAACCAACACACCCTTCAACTCCCACTGCTATATTATTATTACCCAAAGGTTTACATAATCCTGCAAGTAGGCTAGATTACTGCAATTACTACTCCTTGCACAATGTTGTAAAAATGCAAATGCTTTAGTGTGAAATGAGCAATGACCGTAACGGCCCGTCCACACAGCAGCGTTAAAAAAATCTTGGAACGCTTCTGCCCATTCACTTTGAATGGGGTGACGTCACTTTGCCTCACTTTTCGCCGAAATGCATTGTGGGAAGCAGAGCGGAGATTTTCAGGATTTTCAGGATTCAAAGTTGAACAATGTTCAACTTTTGAAGCTGAGGTGGAAGCGTCAGCCAATCAAATCCCGTGTATGCAAATCTGACAGTTCAAGCGCTAGCCAATCAAACGGCGTGTATGCTGGGAGAGACATACCGCAGGTCATTTCCTCATATTCCAAAACATGGAGAAATTAGCGGTAGGGAATCACCCGGTGCTTTATGACCAGTCCCTATTTACCTACCGGGATATAAACCGGAGGAGCCAGGCATGGAGGGAGGTGGCAGAGACAGTGGTAGGTTTTCGCCTGTTTGGGGAGTTTATATCCAGTTTACTTCGGGCTTTTTTGCTTCGTATGTCGGGGGCGGGAGATTCATGTGATTGGTTGTTGGTGCCTTGCTCGCAAAAAATCCCCAAGCTTCAGATACGCCCACCTCCAAGATTTTTTTAACGCTGCTGTGTGGACGGGCCGTCACACTGTGCTGCTTTCCCACGGATGTAAGAAAGTGTCTTTTAGGTCTGAAAAATAAAGAGGTGAGTTAGAAAACGAGCCTGCTGATCATTTCTACTCGACCCTATTAGCTCTCTGCAACATTAGCCGCTAAAGTTGTTTTTTCAAGCCTTTTATTTTCGCTTCGAAACAGCACTTTATTTGTTATGTGGATATCTTCCAACTCATTGTGTTTTGGCTCCTTTGGAAACACATGTTCTCTCGTATTGCGAAATGTGTTAAATAAGCTGTGCAGTTCCTGAATCTGTGGTCATTTCAGAACGGCTAGTTTCTGACACTTTATTGCAGAGAACATCAAGTCTCTTGTCGTGGAAATAACATATTTGTATGCCTACTGCTATCATGATCGCCCACTGGCAAACGCAGACAGATATATAATAATGTACACACACACTGGGTTGCAACAAGCCACATTACGTTTTATGCAACATATCAGCCATATCTAAGGACATGCTCATGACCGGCTATGAGAAGCAATCCAAGTAGTTGTTGTTGTGTAAAGAAAAGGCTGAGATCTCAGTAAAGTAGAGAAGCTGCTGATTGATGAGATACCTCTCTGTTGGTTTATCAACTCTCACATCCTTGTTATCATGAACATATCATCCATAGCCCCTTTAACAGACTCTGCAGCCAGAGAGAGTACATTTGACACATTTAGGAGCTCAATATGTTTCCAATTCATCAAACAATAACAACTCCTAAACCCTGACAGGGCCTCGTGTGAGAGAAACGCTCTGCTGAGATGTCCTCAAATGTTTTGCAGGCATTATGAAAAACTCAGTATGAGTGTCTCAGCTCTCCAGGGGATGGGAGGAGGGGTCAGAGCGACGCAGAGCTAGCGCTGTTAGCTCATAACACAGGAATGTGGACCAGGAGGCCTGCAGGCAGATAGCTTCTGAGGGAGATTAGCCCTCAGGTTACTGGACGGCCCAGAAAGTGACGCTCAGCAGAGGCTCCGAGTCCAGACAGACAACTGGGAAAGTTACGAGAGGAACGGCTAACAACCCCGTTAACTTCACTCTCTCTGACACACTAACTTCACTCTCTCTGACACACTAACTTCACACTAACTTCACTCTCTCTCACACACTAACTTCACACTAACTTCACTCTCTCTGACACACTAACTTCACACTAACTTCACTCTCTCTGACACACTAACTTCACACTAACTTCACTCTCTCTGACACACTAACTTCACACTAACTTCACTCTCTCTTTCACACTAACTTCACTCTCTCTCACACACTAACTTCACTCTCTCTCTGACACACTAACTTCACTCTCTCTCACACACTAACTTCACTCTCTCTGACACACTAACTTCACTCTCTCTCTGACACACTAACTTCACTCTCTCTGACACACTAACTTCACTCTCTCTGACACACTAACTTCACACTAACTTCACTCTCTCTCACACACTAACTTCACACTAACTTCACTCTCTCTGACACACTAACTTCACTCTCTCTGACACACTAACTTCACTCTCTCTCTGACACACTAACTTCACTCTCTCTGACACACTAACTTCACTCTCTCTGACACACTAACTTCACTCTCTCTGACACACTAACTTCACTCTCTCTCACACACTAACTTCACTCTCTCTGACACACTAACTTCACTCTCTCTGACACACTAACTTCACTCTCTCTCTGACACACTAACTTCACTCTCTCTGACACACTAACTTCACTCTCTCTGACACACTAACTTCACTCTCTCTGACACACTAACTTCACTCTCTCTGACACACTAACTTCACTCTCTCTCACACACTAACTTCACTCTCTCTGACACACTAACTTCACACTAACTTCACTCTCTCTGACACACTAACTTCACTCTCTCTGACACACTAACTTCACTCTCTCTGACACACTAACTTCACTCTCTCTCACACTAACTTCACTCTCTCTGACACACTAACTTCACTCTCTCTGACACACTAACTTCACTCTCTCTGACACACTAACTTCACTCTCTCTGACACACTAACTTCACTCTCTCTGACACACTAACTTCACTCTCTCTCACACTAACTTCACTCTCTCTGACACACTAACTTCACTCTCTCTCACACACTAACTTCACTCTCTCTCACACACTAACTTCACTCTCTCTGACACACTAACTTCACTCTCTCTCACACACTAACTTCACACTAACTTCACTCTCTCTCACACACTAACTTCACACTAACTTCACTCTCTCTCACACACTAACTTCACTCTCTCTCACACACTAACTTCACTCTCTCTGACACACTAACTTCACTCTCTCTCACACACTAACTTCACTCTCTCTCACACACTAACTTCACTCTCTCTGACACACTAACTTCACTCTCTCTGACACACTAACTTCACTCTCTCTGACACACTAACTTCACTCTCTCTCACACACTAACTTCACTCTCTCTGACACACTAACTTCACTCTCTCTGACACACTAACTTCACTCTCTCTGACACACTAACTTCACTCTCTCTGACACACTAACTTCACTCTCTCTCACACACTAACTTCACTCTCTCTGACACACTAACTTCACTCTCTCTCACACACTAACTTCACACTAACTTCACTCTCTCTCACACACTAACTTCACACTAACTTCACTCTCTCTCTCACACTAACTTCACTCTCTCTGACACACTAACTTCACTCTCTCTGACACACTAACTTCACTCTCTCTCACACACTAACTTCACACTAACTTCACTCTCTCTCACACTAACTTCACTCTCTCTGACACACTAACTTCACTCTCTCTGACACACTAACTTCACTCTCTCTGACACACTAACTTCACTCTCTCTGACACACTAACTTCACTCTCTCTGACACACTAACTTCACTCTCTCTCACACACTAACTTCACTCTCTCTGACACACTAACTTCACTCTCTCTGACACACTAACTTCACTCTCTCTCACACACTAACTTCACTCTCTCTCACACACTAACTTCACACTAACTTCACTCTCTCACACACTAACTTCACTCTCTCTCACACACTAACTTCACTCTCTCTCACACACTAACTTCACTCTCTCTGACACACTAACTTCACTCTCTCTCACACACTAACTTCACTCTCTCTCACACACTAACTTCACTCTCTCTGACACACTAACTTCACTCTCTCTCACACACTAACTTCACTCTCTCTCACACACTAACTTCACTCTCTCTCACACACTAACTTCACACTCTCTCACACACTAACTTCACTCTCTCTCACACACTAACTTCACTCTCTCTGACACACTAACTTCACTCTCTCTCACACACTAACTTCACTCTCTCTGACACACTAACTTCACTCTCTCTCACACACTAACTTCACATCTCACACACTAACTTCCTCTCTCTCACACACTAACTTCACACTAACTTCACTCTCTCTCACACACTAACTTCACACTAACTTCACTCTCTCTGACACACTAAGTTCACTCTCTCTGACACGCTAAAGGCACCTTATCCCAACATCCTTCCCTTCCCTCATCCCTTCATCCCTCATCCCTTCATCCAGACATCCCTTCATACCTCCCTTTCCTCATCCCTTCATACCTCCCTTTCCTCATCCCTTCATACCTACATCCCCAAATCCCTCATCCCTTCATTCGTCATCCATCCCTAAATCCCTACATCCCTTCATCCCTCAATCCTTACATCTCTCCCTTCCTTCATCCCTTCATCCCCTCATCCCTTCATCCCCTCATCCTCTGCCTGTCTCCATTCATATTTAACTCCTGAATATTTCAAAATGTCTAACCCTAGGAATTGTCTGGGGTCCCGTAATCAGACCAGACCAACAGACCATCATAAACATCTCATCACCGCCTCCATATCAACTCATTGTTACTTCTTCCTTGGTCCCTGCTAGTGAAGTGCTTAATAAAGAAGTCCCTTTACCTCCACGTGGTTGGGCAGGGTGTTGATGAATCTAAATCCGGGGATCCTCTTGTCGCTGCAGACCACCCCGACGTCCTCGGTGTGTTTGCAGTCGGATACTCCGATCCCATTGGACGGACACAGCGCTAACGTCTTCTCTTTGCCGGTGCAGTGGAGATTATCGAACCAGATGGGACCTGACGGGACAAAATATGTGTTCATCAGCGCTTCTATAAGGGAGGGATTGGTCTATTATATCCAATAATATATATATATATCCAACTATTCTGCACTATTTCTATTATATTCTAATTTATTTTATTTACTTCTGTATCTGTTGTATTGTGTTGCACTGTTGGAGGAGCCTGTGACCTAAGATTGTCATTGTCATATCTACACTGCAGCTATGTACACATGACAATAAAAGCCTTGAATCTTGAATCTTGAATATACAAGGCATTTGAGTTAAAAATACAATCAAATAGAAATGTACCAGAATAAAGATTTCTGGTTATTTTTAAAGAATATCTGTGTATGCCGATGATGTGCCGATACCATTATGTCATTCTTATTAGACCAACGTGTTTCCCCACCTGTTCCTTTCCCATATTTGGATGCCGGGGCCCATGAGACGGCCTCCAGGTATCCCAGCTCTCTGCACACCACCTGAGCCGAGTGGCTGTTGAAGTCGTCGTCACACACCGTGCCCCACTCGTTGTTGTAGTAGACCTCCACGCGGCCCTCGTTGTGTTTCCTCTTGTCTCCCGACAGTCGGAGCTGGATCCTGGGGGTGTCGGGCCTCAGCTGGGGGGCGCTGTACTGCTCCTGCTCCGGGTCGGGGTAACCTGGAGGGTAGCCCAGGTGCTCGTACTGAGCGAGGGTCAGATCCAACAGCAGCACCAACACAACACACCAGGGGGGCAGCATTTTGGTTGGAACTAATGAGGAGGAAGAGACACAAACAGTCAATAAATCATGGGTTTATTACGTTGGTTATTGTCATCCCTTCATCCTGACATCCCTTCATCCCTCATCCCTTCATCCCTTCATCCCTCATCCCTCATCCCTTCATCCCTTCATCCCTCATCCCCTTCATCCTGACATCCCTTCATCCCTTCATCCCTCATCCCTTCATCCTGACATCCCTTCATCCTGACACCCCTTCATCCCTTATCCCTTCATCCTGACATCCCTTCATCCCTCATCCCTTCATCCTGACATCCCTTCATCCCACATCCCTTCATCCTGACATCCCTTCATCCCACATCCCTTCATCCTGACATCCCTTCATCCCTCATCCCTTCATCCTGACATCCCTTCATCCTGACACCCCTTCATCCCTCATCCCTTCATCCTGACACCCCTTCATCCCACATCCCTTCATCCTGACACCCCTTCATCCCTCATCCCCTTCATCCTGACATCCCTTCATCCCTTCATCCTGACACCCCTTCATCCCACATCCCGACACCCCTTCTCCCACATCCCTTCATCCTGACATCCCTTCATCCCTCATCCCTTCATCCTGACATCCCTTCATCCCTCATCCCTTCATCCCTCATCCCTTCATCCCTCATCCCTTCATCCTGACATCCCTCACCCCTTCATCCTGACATCCCTTCATCCTTCATCCCTCATCCCTTCATCCCTCATCCCTTCATCCTGACTTCCCTCATCCCCTCGTAGGTATAAGTGAAGGGGGGGATGAAGGGGGACCAAGCAGTGAGACAACAAGGAATCAGGAGTTCTTTGAAGGCAAATGGGCTTTTTTTTACCCAAAAATATCGAGGCCTGTGTTTTGGTACTTCTGGTTAGAGCGTAAGTGCGATTACTGCCAGCTTTATCAGTCTTTACTTCACAAAGAAACAGTTTCTAACCCTTCCAAGGAACTGTATTTAAGTAATAACACTTGTAAATCATTACATTAAAATGTTTTTCTTCACGTTGGTTATTGTCAGGGACAAAGCAGTGAGGAAACAAGGAATCAGGAAACTGGGCTTTTATTGACCCAAAAGAACGAAGTAGTTCTTGTTAACAAAGAGCTTAATATCTAGGCCTATTCAACGTATGCTTTGTTGGTTCTACCGCACTTCCACATGACCTTAGTGTGTGTTGGTAGTGCATAGCGTCAAATCACCCTTTACTTCACAAAGAAACAGCTTCCAACCCTTCGGAGGAACTGTCTAAATAATAACACTTAAAGACACACTCTGATCTTGTTTATAAGATAAATAAATTCTCTGGAGAACATGACGCCCGTATACAAGATGTCTCCTGACGTAAACAACAACTTGACGTAAACAACAATGTGATGTCGGAGCTCCGTAAAAACAAAGCTGTCTCTGCCGTCTGACTCTGTTTTGATAGGAATTATACCGTTTTTGACGAACATAAATATTGTTTTCTGGCATCACTTTAACATTTTACATTTTGCATTTTGGTTTGAGGGCGCAGCGCTCCTGTTACCCGGTGCAGACTAAACCCTGGTTTAAATTACCAATATTTGATTAATATAAGATATATATATATGTGGTGTATTCTGAGATACTATATAGATGTATATCTTTCAGTATAGATATGTATATATTTACTGTTTTTATTTATTTTACATGATTTTCTATTCATGAAGTGCGGTGACGAAACCATTTCCCAGGTCAATAAAGTACATTTAGTCTCGTCTGCACTAAAGGTTTAGCAAATGGAAAAACCTCATAACCAACCAATGCTTGGACTTATATTATAGTATTTAATAGGGATGCTCCGATCAGGGTTTTTGGGGCCGATCGCCGGAATCAGTATCGGCCGATACCGATCGCCGATCCGATCATAGGGTGGGTCTATGGGGGTCTATGGGGATCTTCCATTTAAAGTGATGTTTGAAACTCAGTTAAAGGGGCTCATTTTTAGATCGCTTCAGTTTATAATCGTAATGGATCGAAAAGTTTACATTCATTTTTCAATACATGATGCGCTTCCACAAACAACCAACATCATTATTCAAGTTTACATTAACGTTGGATAATAACACGGGAGAAATTAGTGCTCGTACTGGCATATGATTGGATTGGCTGACGCTTCTGCCGAGGCTTCAAAAGTTGAACATTGCTCAACTTTTGCAGCGAGCCACGCCAGCAAAGCTCCGCTTCGCTTCCCACAATGCAGTTTGGCGAAAAGTGACGTCACCCCATTCAAAGTGAATGGTGAAGCTTTCAACGCACGCTGCTGTGTGGACGGGCCGTTAGTGTGTGTTTCGCTCCGCTCACCGGTCCGTCACAGCGGGTGGAGCTGCAGGATTTCTGCTTCACACACGTTGCATACCGCTATTTCATTGTCTTTTTCGGACACCTTAAAATACTGCCAGACCGATGAAGCCATTTTGGCGAGCTTGTTTTGCCGCACAGAGAAAAGTGTCATGTATTTTACGTCATGTGATCGGCTCTCCTGATCGGCCTTTATAGAGATAAAAGCAAGCGTTTTCTGTGAGATAAGTTCAGAAACCCTCCTGGAAACAGACCTGGAAAGATGACGTAATGCCAGACTCCCACACATGCTTCCTCCTTCCTCTACAGACCAACAATAACCCACACTGATACAATCCAAGTGTGGGAAGAGAGGATATGAAGTAACTGGAATCACTCTCAGATTCATTGAAACAGCTGTGGTTCAATGACCCATCAAATGTTAGGATGTCTAGATGTTGTGTTCATGTTGTGTTTCATCCCACAGGCCATAAGACTGTTAAACACCTGAACTTATCACATTCCAAGTGCACTATTTTATCTGTTTTATTGTGTTGCACTGTTGGAGGAGCCTAAGATGTTCATTGACATATATCTACACTGTAGCTGTGTACAAATGACAATAAAAGCCTTGAAATCTTGAGATCTTTCCGGGTAAAGACATCTGGCAGATGATCCTCCAGCGTCTCCTCTCCTCTGTATAAACGTGGCAGTGGTTGCACAACAGAGCTGGAAACAGAGTTACAGAACCAGCAGATTTCATGAAGCCTGCTCACAATGTGTCCGTCCAATCAGAGAGCGGCTGTCACTGCAGAAACACCGTCAGCAACGCTGGAGGAACTTTAGTTTCCAGACGAGCTCAGAGACACAGCTCGGGCTCCAAACACAAAATATCCTTTCATGATTTGTGGGGTAAGAAAGGACTGGATGAACGCAACTCAACAGCAAGTGGACAAACTGGACTCCATACAAGACTCAAAACAAAGACATTTGACTGGAACAATAGCTAATAGTTACATGTTTCATCAAGACTATAATAACATGAAGACTTATCCCCAGCCTTTTCTGTTGCATGATTGTTATGTTGTTATAACCAACGTGTTAATGTGACAATAAAGATTGAAATGACAAAAAAAGGACTGGACGAAGCTGAAGCAACATGTAATCACACGGAGGAATATACGGTTGTTCTTTGCATTGAAAATTAAACATAATGTCGAGAACGTTCCCTAAATACTGAAGCCTTTTTCTTAAGAAATCCTGCCAATTCGGATGTTTTTGAATAAATCCTAAGGATGAAACTCTATTTCATTTATATCAAACTCCTTATATCAGTACCATCAAGGCTTCTGTGTTTATAAACGCAGCTTTCACACTAATAGAAGACGTCAAATGAAAGACTTCCCTGAACCACAGACCCTAAAATCTGCCATTTGCTTAAGAAACACTGAGACGTTTCTGGACAGGAGACATAACGCTCATACGGGTATTTAAGTACAAATTAGATCATTAAGACCCTATGTAATCTATATAAACTATTATCACCAGTGTCATCATGCTCTAAGAAAGGTCAAACATGGCTTTGATGGAGATCTGGCTTCATGGAAGACTTAAGGACAAAAACGTCCCTGAAAGTGAGACGCTAAAATCTGCCTTTTGCTTTTGAAGCACTTCGATGGGTTAAATCCATGTTGATCTTAATAAATCTCTTGTGTCACCAGGCGCTAAAGAAGGTCAACGATGCCGTATTTTTGTCTAAAAGAACATTTTTTGCAAAAAGTTGATTCTACTTTAATCTACAAAACCATATTCTGAATCAGGACTAGGGCTGCACGATTTGGGGAAATAATCTAATTATGATTTTTTTTGGACAGATATTGCGATTCGATTTGCGATATTTGTTTTTAAGCGACCCAAAGGAAGTTTATTGTAAAAAGCGGCCATATCTCCGGCTAGGAAGGTCGTATCAACGTGCTCCCGTCTCTAGCACCCCCCCGCAGCCAGAGCTACGAGTGAAAGAACTAAACTTACATGAAACTTCCGTTGGGTTGCTTTAAAGTCAAGCTTCAGTTGTAATAGAACATGTGATGGAGCATTACTAACCTGACTCAGAAACCATCAGGAAAGCTCCATTGGAAGCCATTTGGAAAAGTATTTCAAAAATACTTGGCAGGTGATTGGATCAATCTGTCTATCACCTTCTATCATGGGCCACTTCTGATTGGTTAACAATGACTGGTACATGTGGAGCACAGCACTTCTGATTGGTGTGGATGACTGACACACAAGAAGAACAACATTTTTTAAAATACATTTAAAAAAAGCCTGCGATTTAATAATTGCATAATTTCAAATCGCGATTTCTATTTCAAATTGATTAATCGTTCAGCCCTAATCAGGACATTTGTTTGTCTTACACTGGTCGAGGTGAGGTTATTGGATGTAGGAAAAAAATCCTTTTTGGGTCCATTTCAATCTGAGTACTTCTACTTTCTTATAAAACTCTTTTCCACCACAGCTTTCGCCCTCGAGCGGGAGGAGGGACTGTCTGGTTTCCATGATGAGTTTGTTGACAGACAAAAGCCCTTTTGACCTTCCTTACATCATACACTGACATTTAGAGGTTTGAAAGAGGGCTAAATCTATTGCATATGGGGGGAAATGTCCTGATATCCTGGATCGCTTCTCAAGCAGAAGGCAGATTTTAGGGTCTCTGCTTCAGGGAAGGCTTTGACTTTATTTTTTAATGTTTTTTTAGATGCAAAAGCTATTTTTTCCCTACCTTGAAACCTGATGATACAGACATTAAGAGTTTTATATGGATTAACATTGATTTTATCCATAGAACTTGTCAGTGTTTCTTGATCTAAGGATTGTTTAGTCCATTAATTGCAATGGAATACAAAAAAAGCTCTTGACCAGTTACAGGGCCAAGGATCATTCTTTAAATTTAGTCAGAAAAAAAATAAATGTATTTATTATATGATCAAAAACAGACAAGAAACAGCAACATCTCACGTTGGAGATAGATGACATGTTTTCCATTTCTGCTTAACACATTTCTGATGATTAAAACCAGGACTGTTGATGACCAATAATCTTCTGACAATTGACAATTGGTTAATAACGCCTGAAAACATGTGGTACACACATGAGATGCACGTTGTTTTAATATAATAAAAAGCCTGTTTCAATCATTCCAGCTCATATTTGATCATGTACGACTTATTATAGGAGCATTAGAGCATGATGAAGCCTCTCAAACACCATGAAGGAACATCGCACGACTTTTCAAACTTCCTACCTGTCCATCAGACACACAGTGTCTCAACAAATCCGTTCAAACAGTTGATTTTTCGCTTGTTTTCTACTCAACCGTGGTGAATCTTACCTCCCTTGTCGCTCCTGAGGCTCATGCAGTCCGCTGCTCCTCTCCTCTCCTCCTAACTTTCCCTCCTCCGGAGCTCCAGTGGATCAGCGGAGGGTCCCGCCCCCTCACCCCGCCTCCAGGGTGCCTTCAGCTGGGAGGACCCGGGCAGAGACCCGCTGTGAAGTCAGCTTCAGGTTGGGATAATAACAATAATACATTTCATTTATCAGAGGTGGGAAGTAGTGGAGTACAAATACTTCGTTACTGTAAGTACATTTTTCTGGTATCAGTACTTTACTCCACTACTTATTTTTCTGAAGACTTTTTACTTTGACTTCTTACATTTTGAACACAAATACCTGTATTTTCTACTTCTTACATTTTGAACACAAATACCTGTACTTTCTACTTCTCACATTTTGAACACAAATACCTGTACTTTCTACTTCTTACATGTTGAACACAAATACCTGTACTTTCTACTTCTCACATTTTGAACACAAATACCTGTACTTTCTACTTCTTACATTTTGAACACAAATACCTGTATTTTCTACTTCTTACATGTTGAACCCAAATACCTGTACTTTCTACTTCTCACATTTTGAACACAAATACCTGTATTTTCTACTTCTTACATGTTGAACCCAAATACCTGTACTTTCTACTTCTTACATGTTGAACCCAAATACCTGTACTTTCTACTTCTTACATGTTGAACCCAAATACCTGTACTTTCTACTTCTTACATGTTGAACACAAATACCTGTACTTTCTACTTCTTACATGTTGAACCCAAATACCTGTACTTTCTACTTCTTACATGTTGAACCCAAATACCTGTACTTTCTACTTCTTACATGTTGAACCCAAATACCTGTACTTTCTACTTCTTACATGTTGAACACAAATACCTGTACTTTCTACTTCTTACATTTTGAACACAAATACCTGTACTTTCTACTTCTTACATTTTGAACCCTAATACCTGTACTTTCTACTTCTCACATTTTCCAAACAGGCTGGTTCCTTTAGTTTGAATGTGTGTTTGGTGGCGTGATCATTATTATTTAGAGTCATTGCGTGCCTATTGATTTGAACACGATCCGTGTATCCATCATTTCCTGGTCTTCTCTAAAGAAGAGGGACCAATGAAAACGTTGTCATGTTGCCGTTGTTCAGCATGGAAACATTCATTAGCTAACAATGACATTATTGTTCTATTAATATAAAGGGAGGTCAGGTACTCTTTAAAACAGCTGCTAGTTATGGGTACTTTTTACTGAAGTACATTTCAAAGCCTCTTTACTTTGACTTGAGTAAAGGATGTGTGTACTTTTGCCACCTCTGTCATTTATATAGCACCAGTGGCGACTCGTCAATAGGGGCACAGCCCCACCTAGTGTCAGCAGAAAGTAATGCAAATAATAATTCAAAAGAAAATATGCAAAGGAAATATATGTTAAAATATATTTTAAGATCATGTGTAATCATCTGATTCGTCTGTACATTGCTGTTTTAGTCTGTGTTATTCTAATTCGTGTCTACAGTGTGCCTATTGAGCCGTGTTGAGCGATGTGGGTCTACTCTAGCCCCTCTCTCTGCTGTAGAAATGAATGGTTGCTGTAAAAACTACACTGCGCATGCTCAGAGTATTTTTCTATTCAATGTGTGCGGCAACAAAATAATCACCAGTGGGGCACTGTGCTGGCATACCCACCAAACGTCATCTCATAATTCAGAGATTTGATTGGCTGTAAGTACGTGTGCCGCGAAAAGTGTAGTTTTCACCCTGTAGTGAAGAGGAGACGAGAGAGAGCAGCGTATAGCGATTACAATCAGTAAAAAGGAAAGAAAATGAATGAAGTTGACCATCTTCAGCTTTGGTAAGTTCATGTTATGTCATATATTTAGTTGATCTTCTGTGTTTCGCCTATAGGCTATTGCTCTGCTGGATCCATTGATATTGTGACCTCGGTGATGAGTGTCTGTGTTTTCCTTATACCCCCCCCCCCCTCTCTCTATCGGAACCATGGATAGCCTACAGCTATTTGTTTACGTGTTTAAAAAAGCACCAGAAGCTTATATATACACATCTAAGTTGTTCGTGCCCCACCACTTTTGTACATATAAAAACACCACTGTTTAGCACACTTTAAAAACAACGTAATCTCAAGGTGCTTCACGATGCTATGAGGAGAAAATAAAAAATTGAAAAAGTTATCTAAGGAGCATATTGAATAAAATATCGTAATATGAAAAAGGTTAAAAGCATAAAAGGTTAGAATGTTTGACAGACGTTGGACTTGGACCCAAACCGACTCTAATCGGCCCTCTGTCGGGTAGCAACAGGAACTGTCGTCACCTTTCATAATCATGGTGGAGAGTAGAATCAGCATCCCTTAGTGGAAAATGATTTTTTTTCTTTTTTTACAACAGCTTCTATGTCATGTGACTAAGGCTGCCTTTACACGGGAACGTTTGCGTTTATGCACAGTATGCGTTTTCAAAAAAGCCTTCCGTTCACACGCATTCGTTTCATTTAACGTGTCTGTTCACACAAGGCCGTTGGAGACGCTAGACACGCTGTAGTACATATGCCAGGCCTGTAACTGGCGCTGTAACTTCCACCACAAAATACACCAAAAGCAGCGAAGAAGACCCCGGAGCATGGTTGCCATGGTTGCTCTTCTGTTTATGCCCCAGCAACAGGAACTGTCGTCACCTTTCATAATCATGGTGTAGAATCAGCATCTCTCCGTGGAAAATTATATTTAATTACTATTTTCAAGACACGAAAAGTCTTGTTTTTTTTCCTTCTACTTTATAAGAATGTTTTATTGAAAATTCAGCTTTTATTTTTTTTACCTAAAGACCCATTCCAATCCGACTCCAACCTTCAGTTTACGATGGAAGATATGTAGACTCTCCGTTATTCTGGGTTAGCGTTGAAGAGTCCAAAAATCAGCTCCTATCGTCTTTTCCTATCCACTATTCACTGACCTCTGTGTGAAACGTCACAGGGTTAAGGAATAGTGGATAGGAGAATTCAAAAGGATTTAGGAGAAGAGACTGCAGTGCTTTGAGAGTCTGCACTTACACTATCGACGTATTTATGATGTTATTAATGTGCGTCTGCTGCTGTGGGGAAACTACAGATCTCTATACAGCGGACTACATGGATGTTTAATAAGAACGACGGACTGCTGTAAACTCATCTAGAGACTCTGCACCGTGCTCTGATGGTGTTGCTTTATGCTTTATGAACGTGGACAACAGAGAAACATATTCTTCATGACCAAGGTTGGAATTTAAATAAAAAAGGAAAGTGAAACTTATGCTCCTCTCCCTCCGGTCCACATTAAAGGTAGGGTAGGTAAGGATGGAGAAACCAGCTCGAGTGCGCGAGAATTTGAAAATACACAACCGGAAAAAATCTGCCCCTTCCTTCAGACTTCCTCACAGAGCCCCTCCTCCAACACACACGAACGCACACATGACCAATGAGGGCACGAGATAAGTTTGTGCACAGATGGAAGGCTGACAGGCAGGTAGGCCATCCAGTTATTTTAGCCGGGCCGGCTCAGATGATTGGTCGTGCTTTTTACAGTACTACGGCTTCCACAGATTACATTTTTTATGTATTTATTGTCAAAGCAGTTAATCATTGCTATCGGGATGTCAAGATCATTCCATGGAATATAACAAAAAGTGTATCTGAAATAAATTACATACCCCACCTTTAATACAAATGATCCCAATGCGTATGATTGTATGAAAAGATCTTAAAATAAATACTGTATTTATTATAAACGTTAGTCCTTAACATCTATCACTGTGTATATCACCATTCAAACATCTTTTAAAAGTTGAACAAACCCCACACAGCTCAGTAAAGACTGTGAAATGTTGACTTTATTTGATCATTTCAGTAAAAACTAACGTTCATATTTCTCTTTTTGATTATAATACTGATGAACGTTCAAAACAAAGCACTTTGGCAACTTACCACATACGTTTTAAAATGCTTAATAAGCACCGTAACTTTCATGATATCATTTCCCGTTCATAATCGGTTGTTTCCGTGAACGGCCGACTGTTGTGTGACGGCAAATGCTGCGGCCGCAAGGCATTGTGGGGCAGCATTTTCTCCTCTCCTCTCGGTTAGGGAGGTCCAGTGGTTCCTAAGCTAAAGGAGGTTATAAAGGAAGTTTGAAACCTCCCTTCCTTTCATCTAGAGAATTGGAACAGCACTTATCATGGCTGCCACTGAGGGACCTCCGGGTCATTTCACTCCGTTAGGAAGGTTCCTAAGCTAAATGGACTATTCGACTGCAGCCTAGGAAAAGAGACTGCAGTGCTCGACTTTACTTACACTATCCGACGTGTTTATGATGTCATTAATGTGCGTCTGCTGTGGGGAAACTAGTTTTTTACTAAATGGATGTATAATAAGAAGGACGGACTCATCTAGAGACTCTGCACCGTGCTCTGATGCTGTTGTTTTGTGCTTTATGAACAACAGAGAAATATTCTTCATGACTAAGGTTGGAATTGAAGTCACTCACACGTATTAATCCAGGAGAGGTGTAGCGTGTCCTATATTAGCCAGGCATAAACTCTATACATTAGAATAAAATATAAATAAAAATGTCTTTCTTGTACGAGAATCCACCCGGAGAACTATATCATCAAATTCTCAGATGATACAGCCATCCTTGGCTTGATGCACAAAGGCAGCAGTTCATCGGCTTATCACTCTGAAATAGAGAGATTTGTGCAGTGGTGTGATTTTAACCATCTGGTGCTGAATGTGAAGAAGACTGAGGAGATGGTGTGGGACCCAAAGGCAGTGGGTGACCTTAGGCCGGTGGTTATCCACAATGAAGCCATAACTCAGGTCAGCTCCTTTAAGTACCTTGGTGTCCATCTAGATAATACACTCAGCTGGAAGGCGCATGTTCAAGGTCTGTGCTCTAGACTTCAACAGCGGTTGTACTTTCTGCGTCGACTCCGGGCTTTCGGAGTCGACCAGAAGTTCATGTTACTGTTCTATCATGCAGTGTTGGAGAGCATCATGAGGTATGGTATCACTGCCTGGTATGGTAACTTGACAGTGCAGTCAAAGTCACAGATCGCTCGCCTGGTACAGACTGCTATGAAAATGATGGGGGTTAAAAAACACCCATCTCTCCAAAACATATACGAGCAGTCGATTATCAGACAGGCACAACAAATTGTGTCTGATCCCACCCACATACTCCACCCAGAATTCCAGCTCCTACCTTCTGGTAGAAGATTCAGGGTTCCCAGGAGCAGGCTGAACCGCTATAAGCACTCATTCCTACCCATGTCCATTAAGCTTCTTAACATTCACATGAAATGAAATGTAGTCAAATGTAATGAAATGTACTTTTTAAATGTTGGCCATGAGGGTTGTGCAATAGGTCGCCATTGTCAGTATGTGCGTCTGTGTATTGTGTTTGTTCAAACGGTGTATGACTGATGATATGTCTCTTAATGTCCACTATGTTTGTATATGTACATGGATGCACTGCAGGACGGAGTCCAGAACAAATGTCCTTACGGGGACAATAAAGTATATCGTATCGTATCGTATCGGAAACATATCTGTGGGAAAATATGATACAAGTCTTTGTTGGTTACAGTAAATAACGAGAGAACGTACACAGTGTTAGAGGAAAACTCTTTTATTCTTAAATATTATCTCAATAAATATTTACACCACAACAGACGGATAGTTCTCACACTGTTTGTACATTCAGATTAAATGAATGAGTGGAAATGAGATGTGTGATGGTGGGACTGGTTTTGGTTTGAGACATTTTGTATTTCCTTCATTCGTTTTCTTCTTGAAGCAACGGCTGTGGAAGAGAAAAGATAATGATTATGAGATACATGATACAAATAATATCTCTTTATAGGAAATGGGAATTGCAGGTGCGTACTGGGGCAGAGCGGCCATCTTTGAAGGATAAAGTCTGAATATCAGCTTTCGTTATCTGTCAGCTGTTTTGCATCAGAAATTAAAATAAAGTATGCATATAAAAATAATGTCCTTACAGAGAGAAGCTCTTTGCAGAAACAGGTGTTTTATGTTTCTAAATAGGTGACATTTCTTCTCATGAATTAAGATAAGAATGAACAGATTACTGTAAATGATGATGGCGCCCTCTGCTGTTTGGATTTAGCGCTTACACATGTTGGTAATTTAAAAATATTAAATAGTTGGATGCTCATTTCTAAATTAGAACGGACCTTCAGATCTACAGGTTTAATGACAAATATACAGTCATCTAAACAGAGGTAAGATAGCTAATATTATGCTAACTAAATGCTCTCAAAACGTTGGCATATCATGCATAATTAATGAATGTATTCATATTGCGCTATTTAATGATTAACTATGACTTAAAATACGTCAGTAAATACCTCACTGTTGACTTTAAAAACGGCGGTTGCTAACAAGTGTCTAAAAGAGACGAATAAACATCATCACACCCAACATTAGCCACCTTTAGCTTAGCGGTGGTGACGTGAAGTCATGTGACCGTGCTGTAGTTCCTTTATAGCCCAACATTAGTCTCCTTTAGCTTAGCGGTGGTGACATGAAGTCATGTGACCGTGCTGTAGTTCCTTTATAGCCCAACATTAGCCACCTTTAGCTTAGCGGTGGTGACTTGAAGTCATGTGACCGTGCTGTAGTTCCTTTATAGCTCAACATTAGCCACCTTTAGCTTAGCGGTGGTGACGTGAAGTCATGTGACCGTGCTGTAGTTCCTTTATAGCCCAGCATTAGCCACCTTTAGCTTAGCGGTGGTGACGTGAAGTCATGTGACCGTGCTGTAGTTCCTTTATAGCCCAACATTAGCCACCTTTAGCTTAGCGGTGGTGACGTGAAGTCATGTGACCGTGCTGTAGTTCCTTTATAGCTCAACATTAGCCGCCTTTAGCTTAGCGGTGGTGACGTGAAGTCATGTGACCGTGCTGTAGTTCCTTTATAGCCCAACATTAGCCACCTTTAGCTTAGCGGTGGTGACGTGAAGTCATGTGACCGTGCTGTAGTTCCTTTATAGCCCAACATTAGCCACGAAGTCATGTCAACGTTAGCGTTTTACTTCAGAAATCATAAAGTGGTGTTAACATGTGGAGCTGCTGAACTAAACGTGTAAGTATTATGTAATGTATTATTTTCTGCAATAATCCAAAATCACATGTTAATTGGCTTTTTGTGGAGGGAGGCCTTGCAAATCTAATTCCGTGTCTACAAAAACATCCTTCAAAGACGGCCGACTTGCTGTTGAATGCATCACATCCCCAGTATTCCCTTTAGCATGTTCTCACCGTGTACACCAGATCCTCAGGCCTGGAGTCCGGTCTCTGCCAGTTCTGATTGGACAGAATCCTCATGACCACGAGTCCGAAGGCAACGATCAAAACTCCCAACGAGTTCCCCAACACGGCCTCGGAGGGAAGTTCCGAATACGAGGGACCTGCTTTACTGTGGAGAGACACGATAAAGAGGGTCATTTCAGGGTCTTATCTTCAAATAGATAGAAGGTATTTAAAGGTCTCCTATCACACTGTTCTTCATCAATATATCACAGGTCTCAGATATATCCAGAGCCTGTCTCTGATTGGCTGAAACACCAAACAGATCATTGCAGCATTACCCATAATCCCCTCTGTTTCAGCCCTGTTTCCAAAGTGCTGATTCTCTGTCTGTTACTTCAGATGAAAATAAGGAGCCCCTCCCCACACCCCTCTGAGAGAGATTTGGTTACAAAGAACTCAATGGTGCTCTAGGAGGAGATTCAGGTGATAAGGGGGGGGGGGGGTTACCTTGGTTGCTGATTGGCTAATGGTTACACAAGACAAACATCGTTGTGACATCACAAAGTGGCCAAAATCTGATCAGCTCATCTTCAGACAGGTTTTTAGAGAAATGGATCAAAAAGAGAGAGAATCTTTGTTCCTGAAACTTTCAGAGTCTCTTTCCACAGAGGGGACACATGTTGATGAAGAAGAGACATGAAGAAGAGGGGACACATGTTGATGTAGAAGAGACATGAAGAAGAGGGGACACATGTTGATGAAGAAGAGACATGAAGAAGAGGGGACACATGGTGATGTAGAAGAGACATGAAGAAGAGGGGACACATGTTGATGAAGAAGAGACATGAAGAAGAGGGGACACATGTTGATGAAGAAGAGACATGAAGAAGAGGGGACACATGTTGATGAAGAAGAGACATGAAGAAGAGGGGACACATGCTGATGTAGAAGAGACATGAAGAAGAGGGGACACATGTTGATGTAGAAGAGACATGAAGAAGAGGGGACACATGCTGATGAAGAAGAGACATGAAGAAGAGGGGACACATTTTGATGTAGAAGAGACATGAAGAAGAGGGGACACATGTTGATGTAGAAGAGACATGAAGAAGAGGGGACACATGTTGATGTAGAAGAGACATGAAGAAGAGGGGACACATGTTGATGTAGAAGAGACATGAAGAAGAGGGGACACATGTTGATGTAGAAGAGACATGAAGAAGAGGGGACACATGTTGATGTAGAAGAGACATGAAGAAGAGGGGACACATGTTGATGTAGAAGAGACATGAAGAAGAGGGGACACATGTTGATGTAGAAGAGACATGAAGAAGAGGGGACACATGTTGATGTAGAAGAGACATGAAGAAGAGGGGACACATGTTGATGTAGAAGAGACATGAAGAAGAGGGGACACATGTTGATGTAGAAGAGACATGAAGAAGAGGGGACACATGTTGATGAAGAAGAGACATGGAGAAGAGGGGACACATGTTGATGTAGAAGAGACATGGAGAAGAGGGGACACATGTTGATGAAGAAGAGACATGAAGAAGAGGGGACACATGTTGATGAAGAAGAGACATGAAGAAGAGGGGACACATGTTGATGTAGAAGAGACATGGAGAAGAGGGGACACATGTTGATGTAGAAGAGACATGAAGAAGAGGGGACACATGTTGATGAAGAAGAGACATGAAGAAGAGGGGACACATGTTGATGAAGAAGAGACATGAAGAAGAGGTGACACATGTTGATGTAGAAGAGACATGAAGAAGAGGGGACACGTGTTGATGTAGAAGAGACATGAAGAAGAGGGGACACATGTTGATGAAGAAGAGACATGAAGAAGTGGATTTTGCACAATAGGTCCCCTTTAACTCACAGAACAAAGAAGAGTTTCTCGTTGATGCCGGAGATGCAGGCGGCGACGCTGAGCCCCAGGATGCCCCCCCCCATCCACACATGGAGGGGCTTCAGGAAGCCTCTCAGCGAGGGGGGGGAGCAGGGGAGGAGGAACACCCCCGCACCAAACACCCACTGAACAGGGGACATTGTGGAGATTTTAACAATTATTGTGACATATTAAATTGATTTAGAATTATTTTTAAATTGTAAGTTGACATACAAGAAATAAATGGTAATAATAAATAAATAATAATAAAATCCTACTTTCCAAAAAATAAAGATTGATTTAAGTCATTTCTACTAATTAAGGCCTTTTTTAAAGTCTTTGAGGCTGATAGAGTATATTGAGTCCCTGCAGGTAGAGTTTACCTGCAGGGCGAACAGAGCCGTGGCAGCGATCCCGATCCAGCTGTGCAGAGAGTACAGGTTGGGCGTCTTGTTCTTGTTGTGGAAGTCGAACACGGCACACAGACCGACAATGGAGAAGATGAGAGCGAGCAGCATGAGGCCGGCGTGAAGAAGCTTCCAGGGCAACTTGTTCTGACCCCAGGTCAGCGGGACGCGGTACAACACCGCTCCTGAAACAGGAAGTAAAGAGAGGTTAGAGGACCATAGATAGACTTCACGTCACCACCGCTAAGCTAAAGGCGGCTAATGTTGGGCTATAAAGGAACTACAGCACGGTCACATGACTTCACATCACTACCGCTAAGCTAAAGGTGGCTAATGTTGGGCTATAAAGGAATTACAGCACGGTCACATGACTTCACGTCACCACCGCTAAGCTAAAGGAGGCTAATGTTGGGCTATAAAGGAACTACAGCACGGTCACATAACTTCACGTCACCACCGCTAAGCTAAAGGTGGCTAATGTTGGGCTATAAAGGAATTACAGCACGGTCACATGACTTCACGTCACCACCGCTAAGCTAAAGGTGGCTAATGTTGGGCTATAAAGGAACTACAGCACGGTCAAATGACTTCACATCACCACCGCTAAGCTAAAGGCGGCTAATGTTGGGCTCTAAAGGAACTACAGCACGGTCACATGACTTCACGTCACCACCGCTAAGCTAAAGGAGGCTAATGTTGGGCTATAAAGGAACTACAGCACGGTCACATGACTTCACGTCACCACCGCTAAGCTAAAGGTGGCTAATGTTAGGCTATAAAGGAACTACAGCACGGTCAAATGACTTCACATCACCACCGCTAAGCTAAAGGCGGCTAATGTTGGGCTCTAAAGGAACTACAGCACGGTCACATGACTTCACGTCACCACCGCTAAGCTAAAGGAGGCTAATGTTGGGCTATAAAGGAACTACAGCACGGTCACATGACTTCACGTCACCACCGCTAAGCTAAAGGCGGCTAATGTTGGGCTCTAAAGGAACTACAGCACGGTCACATGACTTCACGTCACCACCGCTAAGCTAAAGGAGGCTAATGTTGGGCTATAAAGGAACTACAGCACGGTCACATGACTTCACATCACCACCGCTAAGCTAAAGGAGGCTAATGTTGGGCGTGATGACGTTTAGTCGTCTCATTTAGACTCTTGTTAGCTATCCGATTACGTGCTATGTTGTGCTAACTGAATCTATCTTACATGAAGTTAGCATAACATTAGCCTATCTTTGATTCAGTTAGCATAACATTAGTCTTTCTTTGATTCAGTGCGAAAATGCAACCCAGTCTCACGGCATTTCGTGTTATAGTCACGAAATTAATCTATTGATTCGTGTTCACCAACACGATTTCGCCATTTTTTTCGTGTCACACAGAACGATTTTAAAAGCAATGTAAATAATAACAAATTAGAAGGAAAAACACATTTAAAAAAATACAGATTTAAGTATTCTGACACAGAACGATTTTAGAAGCAATGTATTTATATTGGTAGTATGTTTCGTGCCTGCACCAAATAATAACAAATTAGAAGGAAAAAAAGATGACATAAAATACAGATGTCAGTATTCTGAGGCTCTGAGACATTTCTTTTCCTCACTGACGGCAACAAAACTCAGACATTATACAATTTAAAATAAAAGGGATAGGGTTAGGCTTAGGGTAAGATATTGAGTAAGAACATGTTTTTATGAACCACACAGCTTCTGGTCTTCCAAGACCCGACCGGACAAAAAGACGTGTTGCAGGCACGAAACATACTACCAATAGAAATACATTGCATTTAAAATCGTTCTGTGTGACACGAAAAAAAGGGGAAAATCGTGTTGGTGAACACGAATCAATAGATTACATTAATTTCGTGACTAATAACACGAAATGCCGTGAGACTGGGTTGGAAAATGCACATTTCCGGTTTCAGGACTCATTCCTGCACCACTCCATTGTTATGGGTGTTATTGTTGTTGTATCTAATAAAAGACAACACTTTCACTACTGAACTACTCCCTCCCTCCCTCTACTGTCTTATTAAAGGCTGTGAAGCAGAAGTGAGAAGCAGAAGTGCGAGTGAGAGTGAGAGTCTATATATTTTTCCTTTATCTCACCGTTCCCATAGAGCAGCAGCAGGCCGCTCACCATCAGGACTGGATGCCAGTTAAACTGCAGCGCTGACCCGTCCCACGCAAAGCCCCCCCGCCAGACGCTGCTCCACACACACACACACACCAACACACACACACTCAGGCTCAGCAGCAGCAGGTAGCTCAGGTAGAAGCTCAGGACGGACGCCATGACGGACGGGTCTGAGGCCTGGGACAGAAGAGGTGAGGGGGTGCAGTATCATTTTGTAATCAATATATATTTCTGTATGACGCAAAACATGAAAGGCAACAGTTCAGGTAAGGTCAAATGAATCTGTTCACCTCTTCAGAACTGATTAAATTACTTTTGGCTTAATTATATAAACACTAGAAACAGTACACATATATAAGTGAGTGACATTTATCTTAAATTATTTAAAACCATCTTAACTTGTCTATCAACAAATGTGAATAAAAGCGGTTGAATAATTGTCGATCATTTCGTCTCACCTTTACCTGCCCCTCTTTATCAATCAGCATCATTTTAAACTCTTTATAACACTGACAATAAGCTGGTTATGATAAATACATTTAATGCATTTTAAGAGTGTGTAATCTTCCAAGTTAAACTTATCAACAAAATCTAGCTCGGTTTAAAACGTATATGCACCTTCCCCTTTCCTAAATCACTCAATAAAAAACCCTTACAGTGATCGCACAACTCTCCATAATGTATTCTAAAGTCCACTTGCTGCCTTTATTAATCAGCACCACTTCAAACCCGTTAAAACTCATTATAATGATGATATATTGGATTATTCTGAGAGGTGTCGTGCATGTCTTACCTGCAGCTGCAGCTCGTCTGGACTAAAGGAAACCCAGAAACAAGTGATGGTTTTATCTTGTGATTTCCCCGGTTATTCTAGACTGATACTCACTGTGTTGGTGTTTCTCACTTCCTGTTTCTCCTCTGCAGATAAACTCTCACTTCCTCTTCCAGCCGAGCAGAGGGGGGAGAGGGGGAGGCTGAGGGAACAGCTGGGAGAACTATGCATCTAATGCTGCATCCACTGCCTGTAAATACACATCATATCACAGAGAGAGAAGTCAGAAGTCAAACTTTAAAGGTCTCCTATCATACTGTTCTTCATCCATATATCACAGGTCTCAGATATATCCAGAGCCTGTCTCTGATTGGCTGAAACACCAAACAGATCATTGCAGCATTACCCATAATCCCCTCTGTTTCAGCCCTGTTTCCAAAGTGCTGATTCTCTGTCTGTTACTTTAGATGAAAATAAGGAGCCCCTCCCCACGCCCCTCTGAGAGAGATTTGGTTACAAAGAACACAATGGTGCTCTAGGAGGACATTCAGGTGATAAGGGGGGGGGGGGGTTACCTTGGTTGCTGATTGGCTAATGGTTACACAAGACAAAACATCGTTATGACATCATAAAGTGGCCAAAATCTGATCAGCTCATTTTCAGACAGGTTTTTATAGAAATGGATCAAAAAGAGAGAGAATCTTTGTTCCTGAAACTTTCAGAGTCTCTTTCCACAGAGGGGACACATGTTGATGAAGAAGAGACATGAAGAAGAGGGGACACATGTTGATGAAGAAGAGACATGAAGAAGAGGGGACACATGTTGATGAAGAAGAGACATGAAGAAGAGGGGACACATGGTGATGTAGAAGAGACATGAAGAAGAGGGGACACATGTTGATGAAGAAGAGACATGAAGAAGAGGGGACACATGTTGATGAAGAAGAGACATGAAGAAGAGGGGACACATGTTGATGAAGAAGAGACATGAAGAAGAGGGGACACATGTTGATGAAGAAGAGACATGAAGAAGAGGGGACACATGTTGATGTAGAAGAGACATGAAGAAGAGGGGACACATGTTGATGAAGAAGAGACATGAAGAAGAGGGGACACATGTTGATGAAGAAGAGACATGAAGAAGAGGGGACACATGTTGATGTAGAAGAGACATGAAGAAGAGGGGACACATGTTGATGAAGAAGAGACATGAAGAAGAGGGGACACATGTTGATGTAGAAGAGACATGAAGAAGAGGGGACACATGTTGATGTAGAAGAGACATGAAGAAGAGGGGACACATGTTGATGAAGAAGAGACATGAAGAAGAGGGGACACATGTTGATGTAGAAGAGACATGAAGAAGAGGGGACACATGTTGATGTAGAAGAGACATGAAGAAGAGGGGACACATGTTGATGAAGAAGAGACATGAAGAAGAGGGGACACATGTTGATGAAGAAGAGACATGAAGAAGAGGGGACACATGTTGATGAAGAAGAGACATGAAGAAGAAGGACACATGTTGATGAAGAAGAGACATGAAGAAGAGGGACACATGTTGATGAAGAAGAGACATGAAGAAGAGGGGACACATGTTGATGAAGAAGAGACATGAAGAAGAGAGGAGACATTGTTGATGAAGAAGAGACATGAAGAAGAGGGGACACATGTTGATGTAGAAGAGACATGAAGAAGAGGGACACATGTTGATGTAGAAGAGACATGAAGAAGAGGGGACACATGTTGATGAAGAAGAGACATGAAGAAGAGGGGACACATGTTGATGTAGAAGAGACATGAAGAAGAGGGGACACATGTTGATGTAGAAGAGACATGAAGAAGAGGGGACACTTTGATGAAGAAGAGACATGAAGAGAGGGGACACATGTTGATGAAGAAGAGACATGAAGAGATGGGACACATGTTGATGTAGAAGAGACATGAAGAAGAGGGTACACATGTGAAGTAGAAGAGACATGAAGAAGAGGGGACACATATTGATGTAGAAGAGACATGAAGAAGAGGGGACACATGTTGATGAAGAAGAGACATGAAGAAGAGGGGACACATGTTGATGTAGAAGAGACATGAAGAAGAGGGGACACATATTGATGTAGAAGAGACATGAAGAAGAGGGGACACATGTTGATGAAGAAGAGACATGAAGAAGAGGGGACACATGTTGATGTAGAAGAGAGACATGAAGAAGAGGGGACACATGTTGATGTAGAAGAGACATGAAGAAGAGGGGACACATGTTGATGAAGAAGAGACATGAAGAAGAGGGGACACATGTTGATGAAGAAGAGACATGAAGAAGAGGGGACACATGTTGATGAAGAAGAGACATGAAGAAGAAGGACACATGTTGATGAAGAAGAGACATGAAGAAGAGGGGACACATGTTGATGAAGAAGAGACATGAAGAAGAGGGGACACATGTTGATGAAGAAGAGACATGAAGAAGAGGGGACACATGTTGATGAAGAAGAGACATGAAGAAGAGGGGACACATGTTGATGTAGAAGAGACATGAAGAAGAGGGACACATGTTGATGTAGAAGAGACATGAAGAAGAGGGGACACATGTTGATGAAGAAGAGACATGAAGAAGAGGGGACACATGTTGATGTAGAAGAGACATGAAGAAGAGGGGACACATGTTGATGTAGAAGAGACATGAAGAAGAGGGGACACATGTTGATGTAGAAGAGACATGAAGAAGAGGGGACACATGTTGATGAAGAAGAGACATGAAGAAGAGGGGACACATGTTGATGAAGAAGAGACATGAAGAAGATGGGACACATGTTGATGTAGAAGAGACATGAAGAAGAGGGGACACATGTTGATGAAGAAGAGACATGAAGAAGAGGGGACACATGTTGATGTAGAAGTGATTATTTTATTTTAAAGTAAATTCAGATTGAACATAGTAAAAAACTGTAAATTATAGTGTCCGTCCAAAATAAACATTACTTATAGTGAAAACCACCCTTGAATGATGGGATAGTAGACTAAAAGCTTTAGGAATCCAAACTATAACATATAATAAGTACCCTGTATCAAGATTGATGCAAAACAAGTGACATTTGACCTTTTAGAGAGGTTTAGAAAAAATATCCCACTTCTGGGGTCATTTGGGTGCATTTTCCATATGTCTGGAACCCATCGGTCGATTTTGATGATTGACACCTCTTTTTTACCGTTAGAGCCAATAGAATCGAGGGGGAAGTTCCTAAATCCACCTATACGTTACATTGAGGAGTGAGAGTGATGCGCACGCAGCTAATCAATATCTTATTTGTGCAAATCCGATAAGTAATAAGGTATTTCTACCGTGAGTTCTGTGCTAAGTGCGTTAGCATTTTTTCGCTCAGGGCTCATTTAGACGCTACTTGTGAGACTTGTGTTTTGTTTCGGTAAAAATGGTTCGTATCGTCAGATAGCTGAGTTTCTTCCCGTTAAGTGAGTATGACACATTCATAGTTTATTAAATGTTAAGAAGCCCGCCGGCGGGGGCTGCAGGCTTTTTTTTCACGAAACTGTGTCTCAGGGCTTCTTAAAGGTAGGGTAGGTAAGTTTGAGAAACCGGCTCGAGATACACTTGTTGTTATATTCCATGGAATGCTCTTAACATCCCGATAGCAATGAATATCTGAAGTGCTTTGACAAAGAATCCATAAAAAATGTCACCTGTGGAAGCCGTAGTACTGTAAAAAGCACGACCAATCATCTGAGCCGGCCTGGCTGAAATGACTGGATGGCCTACCTGCCTGTCAGCCTTCCATCTGTGCACAAACTTATCTCGTGCCCTCATTGGTCATGTGCGCGTTCGTGTGTGTTGGAGGAGGGGCTCTGTGAGGAAGTGGCAGATTTCTTCCGGCTAAGTATTTTCAAATTCTAGCGATCTCGAGCTGGTTTCTCCAAAATTACCTACCCCACCTTTAACATTTAACAACCTATTCATGTGTCATACCCACTTAACGGGAAGAAACTCAGCTAACTGACGATATGAACCATTGTTAGCTAAACAAAACACATGGGTAATCCCAAGCCTCTGAATTAGCCCTGAGCGAAACAATTCTAACGCACTTAGCACAGAACTCACTGTAGAAATACCTTATTACTTATCGGATTTGCACAAACAAGATATCAGATTAAAGCTGAGATTCCACAGATTCCAGAGGTATAAGTATCATCACTGTGCGATCAAACCCAGACAACACAACGTAGCTTTACGGAGCCAAAACGGCAAAAACGTCTTACCTTTGCTGTTTTTCTGATCAAAAGTTGTGTTCAATGGCATTAAAACAATATAAACGCCGCTGAAAGTTAATCCAATGTGTCTGTGTCACTTTGAAATGATTACTGATAATCCATCCTTTCATTTTTGTGAAAAACCCTAAAAAACTGAGATTTCATATGCATGCTTGTGAGAGCTACAACCCAGCTTCCGGTTTTGGGCATTCTGGCTGCGCATCACTCTCATTCACCAATGGGTAATGTTTAGATGGATTTGAGGAACCTCCCCTCGATTCTATTGGCTCTAACGGTTAAAGAAAAGGTGTCAACCATCAAAATCGACCGAGGGGGGCCAGAGATATGGAAAATCCACCCAAATGACCCCAGAAGTGGGTTTTTCTTCTAAACCTCTCTAAAAAGGTCAAATGTCACTTGTTTTGCATCAATCTTGATACAGGGTACTTGTTATATGTTATAGTTTGGATTCCTAAAGCTTTTAGTCTACTATCCCATCATTCAAGGGTAGTTTTCACTATAAGTAATGTTTTATTTTTGGACGGACACAATAATTTACTTTTTTTTTACTATGTTCAATCTGAATTTACTTTAAAATAAAAAACATCTATATTGATTCTGACTCTTCTACATCCAACTCACAGGTTTATCATTACTTTGAGAAAACAGATTATGAATTTACCCCTTTCAGAAGGGAAGATATGGTCATTTGTTCTGGGAATGTCATTTTCGAGCCTGAGACCTGAAAAACAGGCTCTGGGGTTAACAGGTTAAAGGTCAAAGGTCAAAGATGGGTTTGAGTAACAGGAAAACAGGAACATGTGTTGTCTGGGGATGCAACATGGATGAGAGGAATATGAAACAGTTAGAAAAGTGGCAAAAGAACTATCATTTCACAGGAAGACTAGCGGTAGAGGAATGTGAGATTTGGTGAGTGATATTATCAAATATCTGGAACAAACTCCCAGAAACCTGATCGAACAAACAGAAGATCAGAAGTTTATAAAGATGGAGAGAACACCTCCAGATGAGATGAAGTTTGAATACAAGATATTATAAAAGCTGTCAGTGGAAACAGGAAACAGCTCATTCAAGTAATGATAAAATAATATATATATAAAAACACTGAAGTAGACTTAACAGTACAAAGAGGTAGAATAATCCCAGATAAAAGGTTATAAGTTATTCAACCAAGGTTTTTTAACTTACCCGAGGTCAAAAACACACATATACATATATATATATATATATATAAATTAAGGTATTTATACAAATACAAGGAAGTAGAAAAATGTTACTCAAGTAAAAGTAGAAGTACTCAGATCTTGTACTTGAGTAAAAGTAGAAGTACTCAGGTCTTGTACTTGAGTAAAAGTAGAAGTACCAGAGTGTAGGAATACTCTGTTTCAGTAAAAGTCCTGCATTCAAAATGTTCCTCAAGTAAAAGTAGAAAAGTATTCTCATCAAAATATAGTTAAAGTAGAGACAGTAAAAGTAGTCATTGTGCAGATTGGTCCATTTCAGAATAATATATATGATATGTTATAATATATATAATATATAATTATTGATCATTAAAGTGTTATCAAAGCTGGTAAAGCTACAAAAATAACCGATAATATTTTCCTGAATAAAAGTACACACCCTGCCAGAGTTTGGTATCAATATATTATCAGAGCAAATACTTAGTGTAGGAATCTCATTATGCTGTTTTTAACCCTTCAGGACCTTAAAGGACCTTAAAGGACCTTTCTTTAGCCCTATTGTCCAATCACAGTAGCTTAAAAACTTGTTACCAATTGAATCCTAATTTAAATACTACGGGAGCCTGCGATGTTCAGTTTGAATCCATATGTTATGAACACAGAAGGACCTTAAATGACCTTTCTGTAACCTAACCAGAGTTTGAACTTGTTACCAACATAAATACTGTTTATAATATTAACGTCCAAAGTTACGTATCATACAAATACAAAAACTAACAAAAACTTCACGTTTTAGAATATGACATGAATGTACCTGGTTCAGAAACACCTCGCGCTGATGAACAGGTGAGAACACTGGAGAAAAGTGGAGGATAAAAGCTGCGTTTCAGGTGAAAGACATCCAAACAACAATGAGAAATCTACCTGAGACGCTTCCTTATTGACAGCGCAAGGCATTCTGGGAAATGCAGTTCTACAGCAGCAGCAGCGTACCCGGAAGCAGTACATTGTTTCTGATCATGATTATTAAATAGTTCAATGTCCTGTGATGTTATTTTTTGATGTTTTGTCCTCGTGATGTTTTATTCAGCCTCCTTAAGGAAATAACTTTACTAACAGATATAATATATTTATAATAATAATTTTAAAAAGCTTTATTGATCGACCAGGAGGAACACTTTCACTTTAACCAATAAGTCTTGCAATCAGCTTTAATATTTAAACATGTTAGTCTTTCTTTGTATTATTACAATCCTCCTTAAAACATGTATTTATAAATACATCTCCACATTTAAATATAATGTTAATCAAATATCTTTGATTATTTTATTGATATAAGAGGAGGAATCATTTCAGTTCAGTGTGTGGTTGTGCGTTCATGGACTTCTTCAGTGTGTGGTGGTGCGTTCAGGGACTGGTTCAGTGTGTGGTGGTGCGTTCAGGGACTGGTTCAGTGTGTGGTGGGATGGTGCATTCAGGGACTGGTTCAGTGACTGGTGGTGCGTTCATGGACTGGTTCAGTGTGTGGTGGTCCGTTCATGGACTTCCTCAGTGTGTGGTGGTGCGTTCAGGGACTGGTTCAGTGTGTGGTGGTGCATTCAGGGACTGGTTCAGTGTGTGGTGGTGCGTTCATGGACTTCTTCAGTGTGTGGTGGTGCGTTCAGGGACTGGTTCAGTGTGTGGTGGTGCGTTCAGGGACCAGTTCAGTGTGTGGTGGTGCGTTCAGGGACTGGTTCAGTGTGTTGTGGTGCGTTCAGGGACTGGTTCAGTGTGTGGTGGTGCGTTCATGGACTTCTTCAGTGTGTGGTGGTGCGTTCATGGACTTCTTCAGTGTGTGGTGGTGCGTTCAGACACTGGTTCAGTGTGTGGTGCTGCGTTCAGGGACTGGTTCAGTGTCACTTTAAACAAAACAAATCTTAATATCACTGTCTTGCAATTAGATTTAATCTACCTCTAAATATGTAAGTATATTTTTTTGTTATATGATTTATTTATATGATTTTTAATCTATTTTATTAATAATAATAAATTGTATTTGTAAAGCACCTTTCATTCCCAAAGTAGGCGTAAGAAACAAATAAAAGAAACAAAAGTTTAATCAAAGGCTTTTTTTTAAAGAAAGGTTGATAGGCCTTTCTTAAAGGCTTCAGTGGTCTGTGGAGTCCTCAGGTGGTCTGTGGAGTCCTCAGGTGGTCTGGGAGTCCTCAGGTGGTCTCGGAGTCTTCAGGTGGTCTGGGAGTCCTCAGGTGGTCTGTGGAGTCCTCAGGTGGTCTGGGAGTCCTCAGGTGGTCTGTGGAGTCCTCAGGTGGTCTGGGAGTCCTCAGGTGGTCTCGGAGTCTTCAGGTGATCTGGGAGTCCTCAGGTGGTCTGGGAGTCCTCAGGTGGTCTGGGAGTCCTCAGGTGGTCTGTGGAGTCCTCAGGTGGTCTGTGGAGTCCTCAGGTGGTCTGGGAGTCCTCAGGTGGTCTGGGAGTCCTCAGGTGGTCTGTGGAGTCCTCAGGTGGTCTGTGGAGTCCTCAGGTGGTCTGGGAGTCCTCAGGTGGTCTCGGAGTCTTCAGGTGATCTGGGAGTCCTCAGGTGGTCTGGGAGTCCTCAGGTGGTCTGGGAGTCCTCAGGTGGTCTGTGGAGTCCTCAGGTGGTCTGTGGAGTCCTCAGGTGGTCTGGGAGTCCTCAGGTGGTCTGGGAGTCCTCAGGTGGTCTGTGGAGTCCTCAGGTGGTCTGTGGAGTCCTCAGGTGGTCTGGGAGTCCTCAGGTGGTCTGGGAGTCCTCAGGTGGTCTGTGGAGTCCTCAGGTGGTCTGTGGAGTCCTCAGGTGGTCTGTGGAGTCCTCAGGTGGTCGCGGAGTCCTCAGGTGGACTGGGAGTCCTCAGGTGGTCTGGGAGTCCTCAGGTGGTCTGTGGAGTCCTCAGGTGGTCTGGGAGTCCTCAGGTGGTCTGGGAGTCCTCAGGTGGTCTGTGGAGTCCTCAGGTGGTCTGTGGAGTCCTCAGGTGGTCTGTGGAGTCCTCAGGTGGTCTGGGAGTCCTCAGGTGGACTGGGAGTCCTCAGGTGGTCTGGGAGTCCTCAGGTGGTCTGGGAGTCCTCAGGTGGTCTGTGGAGTCCTCAGGTGGTCTGGGAGTCCTCAGGTGGTCTGGGAGTCCTCAGGTGGTCTGTGGAGTCCTCAGGTGGTCTGTGGAGTCCTCAGGTGGTCTGTGGAGTCCTCAGGTGGTCTGGGAGTCCTCAGGTGGACTGGGAGTCCTCAGGTGGTCTGGGAGTCCTCAGGTGGTCTGTGGAGTCCTCAGGTGGTCTGTGGAGTCCTCAGGTGGTCTGGGAGTCCTCAGGTGGTCTGTGGAGTCCTCAGGTGGTCTGGGAGTCCTCAGGTGGTCTGTGGAGTCCTCAGGTGGTCTGTGGAGTCCTCAGGTGGTCTGGGAGTCCTCAGGTGGTCTGTGGAGTCCTCAGGTGGTCTGGGAGTCCTCAGGTGGTCTGTGGAGCAGAGGTTGCGTGTGAAGGTTTGTGATGTGAGTAGTTCTTTGAGGTATGATGGAGCGTTCCCGTGGATGCACTGATGGGTGAGCAGTGCGATCTTGTATTCAATCCTGAATGAGACAGGAAGCCAGTGGAGGGAATGAAGGACGGGTGTGGTTGTATTTTCTCACCCTCATCAGGATCCTAGCGGCACTGTTCTGTACGTATTGGAGCTTCTGAAGGCTCCCGCTAGGAGTCCCGATGAGGAGAGCGTTGCAGTAGTCGAGCCTTGAGGAGACGAAGGCACGGACCAGCTGTTCAGCATCTGACAGGGAGAGTGTGGGACGGAGCTTAGCAATGTTCCTGAGGTGGTAGAAGGAGGCTTTGCACAGGTGTTTGATGTAGGTGTCAAAGGTCAGATGTCGGTCAAATCTTACTAATTAAATCTATTAATATTTTTTCTTTCATTCTCATAAGAAAATACGTTTGGAATAATAACACAAGAGAAGACATGTTTATGTGTCTTTTTTCATTTTTACATTTTTTTTATATGTAAGAAAAAAGTGTATTTGGAACAAAGTACATGTAAAACAACAACAACAAGACTGTAGGGTACAAAAATATCAATAATCAAGTTTGGGGTTGTATAAACATTACTGATACTGATTAAATGACTGAGATAAGTGTTTCTCCCGTTACTGTTTGATTACTGTGACTGTGTGTGCAACTAAAGTATACTTTACTGCATGATGGACCTAAAGGGCTCAAATAAATGCAATGATACTCTGTCCTGCAGCGCCCCCTGATACATGCAATCATCATCACTGTAACTCTTTAAAGCAGGGGTGTCAAACTCAAGGCCCGGGGGCCAAATCCGGCCCGCGACTTCACTTTATGTGGCCCCACAAGAGCTTGCAAAGAATATAATATGTTTATTATACGGTTACATGCTACTTTACAGAAGCACGTTGCCCATAAACGACATGTCCCACAATGCATCTCAAATTTGACTTTTTCTTAGAATTAGCCTTTTTCTCATAAATCGATTTTTTTTTCAAAATGTCACTTCTCTTTTTCAAAATGTCACAATCAATGTTTTTCCAGAATGTGGCTTTTCTTTTAAAATCATATTGTGACATTCTTACTGAAGAGACTTGCAATTATTTGCTCTAGACTTCTGCTTTCAGACGTAGTTAATTATGAAGTTATATTAATTAATGATATAGTCTTAAAGTTACAACCGGCCCTTTGAGTGCAACCATAATGCTGATGTGGCCCATGATGAAATTGAGTTTGACACCCCTGCTTTAAAGACTCATTTGTTGCTTTGAACAAAGCCACACAGGTCAGACTGACATCCAGCGAGAGCAAGGATGCAGGTACATATTTACATGTGCTTCCTTATATGTTGATGTACAATAATGTTTGTGACAGAGCTCCACAGTGACATCTACAATAATACTAATAACCCTTTTTAAACGTGTTCAGCTCTAGAGAACAGGAGGAGCTCCAGAAGGAGAACGCAGGTCAGCTATCTGAGTTCAAGTGAACTCTTTAAGTGTGGTAGAAAACAGGTGTCAAACTTTCTAATATGTGATGATGGAAACTGAAATAAACTGAGGATGATAAATATATTTTCCTATAAGGATTTTAAAGGCAGGAATTAAAGGGACCTGGAATGAGACATGGTGAGTACAAAATAAAACAGGACGTGGACATAAACTAAACTAACATGAACATGACAATCACAAACATGACTAAACTAACATATTTGACGGGACACAACAAAACTCTGCTGGCTATCAGAATCCTAACGACTGCTGTGACACCATGCTGTGTGGTTAAGTATACGTTCTCTGCCGGTCTCACTGATGCAGGATCAGTCGGACCCTTCACCACTGACATCACACTGAAGGTAACACACACACACACACACACACACACACACACACACACACACACACACACACACACACACACACACACACACACACACACACACAGACACACACACACACACACACACACACACACACACACACACACACACACACACACACACACACACACACACACACACACACACACACACACATACACACACACCACACACACACACACACATACACACACACACACACACACACACATACACACACACACACACACACACACACACACACACACACACACACACACACACACACACACACACACACACACACACACACACACACACACACACTAACATTCATTTACAGTGGATGTGTGATAGTAAGCTTTCTTAAGAGTTTTCTTAATGAAACCATTAACTAGGGCTGTGCGATTATGGCAAAAATCCTAATCACGATTAATTTGGTCAATAATTGATATCACGATTATTAAAAACGATTATCCATTTACTTTGAAAACATCCATTTATTGAAACAAAAATGTGAACAGTATGTTTTTAACAGTTGATTACCCTGAACTTTAAGTATAATTCAACTGAAAAACCAAAAA